GAATAGAATAGAATAGAATAGAATAGAATAGAATAGAATAGAATAGAATAGAATAGAATAGAATAGAATAGAATAGCTTACCAAGGCCAGGCACTGACACTGGACAAACCAAATGAGAAAAAGACACAATAGACTGAGGCTCAGGTGAGAGTGGGCGGGGCAAGAGCTGGAGGAGAATGGACGGCACACAGGAAAATGAAAAYGTGGAACTAAACACAGTCCCAAAAACCTACAAGACTGATGAAAACAAAATAAAATTTAGGCTGAACTACAAAAGACTGGGAATGAAAAATCACATCATAAGATGGAGAAAAACAAAACTAAGAATCAAAATAATTAATAACAACTCATTAACCAAAACACAAGGATTTATGATGAATGCTTGAAATAATTAAAAGCCAGTATTCCTTGAAGGAATGAATATTGCCCAGTCTTTCGTGCCAGATTTTTAGACTATAATCACCTTCTCTTAAGGATTCGGGTAGGTAATGCTGCCTCACAGCAAGGTGTCTGCAGGTCAAATCTCAGGAAAGGTCTTTTAGAAACGTTTGACTAATTGTATCTGTGGAGATTTTTTTTTTCTTGTTGGGATGTCACAATCAGTACAAGTTTTTGTCAGAACAAAGGGCAGATTCTATAAAAGTTATAGCTTCTTTTTTGTTGTTGCCACATTTGACCTGACATCATGTTTTGCTATGTAAACAGAAGTTTTAACTTTGACCTAAAGTGCAGTTACAAAACCAGGAGAGGCAAACTAAATTCAAGTTAATGTTAAATCGACATATCCAGTTAGCTCCAAAGGTCAGAGAATGCAACCCAGGTATCGAGGAGAAATATACAGATACAACGAATATTAGGTGTTTTAGAAAAAGAGGTTGAGTTTTACTTTTAAAACACAGGAACAAATAAAACATTCATGTTGCAGAAATACTAGGAAAAATGTTTGGTATGTGCCTGTGACAAGCTCATCCTTTAAATACAAAAAGTCAAAGAAAATATCACATAACACACATTTTGTCACATACAGTAACTGCTGTATTTGCTTTTGAATTTGGCTCAGCCAAAGTGAAACAGGAAGTGACATCAAACCTCTATAAGAAATTGTTCTCCCTGGTCTTTGTTTGTTGAAACAATATTATTTGAAGTCTAATTCTTGCTATGTTATCTTTCCAAAATGCACGTCACAGGCACTTTAATATCACGTAAATGTATACCTTCAAATGATTACCTAATTTATTACATGCATTTAGTCATTTCACGTTTTACATTAAACATTTTTGTGCTGTTAATCCAGCTCTTATTCATTTTCAGTCTCATGTTTTCCTCACTTAAAAAAAAAGTGCGTAAGAAACAGCCACTGAGCTGTTTATTCATTGGTTTTCTGGAGAGCAGGCTACAGGCTGCAGTCTCATGTTCTTACATTAAAGTTTGCATAATTTAGAAGGTTGCAAGTATTAAGTTGTGGCAGTGACCTGAAAACAGCACCACCGTTTGTTTCAAACAGAATGAGTGTGGAAGCAATGCAGTCGARCATCCTGTCATCTCTCTATTCCATCCACTGCTCCGAGTGTGAGAAAAGACTGCCCTCACCTGGCTGTTTGGAAACAGCAGCAATGAACTGTTTTAGCAAGGCAGATAACAGCGCCATTCAGTATCACCCTTTTAATTTACCAACATAAAAACTCATGTTTCAAAAAAAGGTATCACACCAACATCATGTGAGCTTTTAACATTTGCCATTTATTCTTAACACCTGCTTGAAAAAGAAAAAAAACTTTAGTGCAAATCATACAGAGACTGATAACATGATTTTAAATTATTAATAAATATACATGAGACAATTTACACTTTGAAATGCTACAAGCACTTTTCACAGTTAAGTAAGAGTCTCTCAATCCATCCTGTACTTCCAACGAGTTGCAGTCACAACTAAAGAAAAATTACCAGCAGGGACTGAAAAGGCAAAAAAACAATAGCAGTACCACTGAACGGTCACAGACCAYGGTCAGTTTTTATTCTGACAAAATGAACAAAATCTCAAAGCAATAATTACCCTGTGTAGCGCATATTCTTTAAACGTACAGCTCATAAAAATTAAATAAAACAAAACGCTGTGTGATTTGTTACAGAGTGCAACGAATGTTAACTCAACAAAAAAATATATATAATAATATTCCTCCACTCATTTTGAGGTGTTGGAAAAACAATTCTCACATTAAACTTAGACCAACTGCCAGAAGCAACAACGAAGTGCTTGGATGGCACAGATGAAAATGATTCGAACACAAAAGTACTAACAGATTATTCTTCTAATCACTGATTTGGGACAAACACCACAAATCAAAAGTTTAATGAACAGTTGCAGGACGAGGTGCAAAACAAAAGCAGCAAAACAAGCTGAACGACTGGATCAGGTTTTTAGWTGAAATGCTTCGTCCACACACGGAGACTGACTCTGCCCACAGTGCAGCCAGCTTTACAGAAACTGAACATAGTACTTTTCTTTGGGCTTGCAGTGCAATCAAATGTAGGTTTCTCAGGTAGAGAAAATTTGATTTATGGTGGCATGTAAAGCCAAAATTGAGAAAAMAATCTACATGTGAAAAAAATCTGATTAAATTTGCATATACATTTTAGAAGAAATGATTGGATTAAAGCACAATGATGTCTTTGTCTGAGAAATGCTGACAAATGTTCCAATTTCCACTACTTTCATGCTAAATTTTTGCCCTGTCATAATAATCTGATGGCACCTAGATATTATATTCAAAATTCAAACATGTTGACCCATAATGAAAAATGCTATAGCATTACTTTTAGTAAACGTTACATTCATAATTATGTCAATCTAATTTCCATCATTATATCTAAACAACAAATTAAAATGCCATGCTTGGCAGGACTTTACTTTTCCTCGATTCTGCAATGTCGTGCTTAGAAAACCATCAACTTCATTTCCATTTTTGTATTTGAGACATGCCTTCCATGTGCTTTCTTTTAACAAATCAAAAGCTTTTGACTAGATTCTGTGTTGGGGAGCTAACTGAATCAACATAATCCATCTTAAATCAATGCAGCTGCARAAGCAGCTCACAGACAGCATGCAGTAAGAGCTTGAACCAAAAGGCCACAAAATAACTACAAATTAAAAAACAAAAAAGTGCAAATGCATGCCAAAAGTGACTGCCATGTTCTACAAACCACCCATCAAGTAGCAAATGAGAGCTGCTCAGTCCTTCCCTACCTCTTTTCAATTCTGTAGCAGTCAGGTTAACTTCAAGTGCAAGTCCAAGCCATTAACATGTCAAGTGAACTTAACAAAGAAAAACAATTCTTGACATGTCAAGTTACCTGAACGGCATTCACCCACCTGTACACTCACTCACTGTGGTAGCTTTATTATTTTTTTCTCTTGATTCAGTTTTAAATTAATTTACAATATAATATAGCCTACAAGTCCGCTGGGTTTACAGTGTAGTGACCAAGTTACCAGTTTCCTCTCTTCAGAACAGGAGTTTCATACAGCAAAGTCCTGAAAACAAAGAAGAACAAAACACTGGATGAGGAAGACATAAAAAACACTGTACATCAACTGGATGATTTTACATTTTTCATCTATGTGATTTAAAAATGGCTGTGCTATAATCCAACTGTATTATTTAACGTCTGTAAATAAAATGACCATTTCCCTAATGTTAGCAACAATTGTACTTGTCTTCATGTTTTAAAAAAAAGGTAATTTTCACCACTATACATTTAATTGTAACGTTAAAGTCATTAATCTACCTGCTTATCCAGGTTGATTGTTGGCGTCGTCAAGCCATAATGTTCTGCTCTGAGCGGCTGGCAGTGGTTCCAGTTGCTTCCTCTCGACTGTGCGTGGGAGGGGGCTCGTCTTTCTGTGGTACGCTCTGCCGAGGCTTCACTATGGTGATTTTAATGGGAACTCCTTTGATGCCATGCTGCACTCTGCTGTACTGCCGCATGGAGGGGTTGAAAGTGCGAATGGGAACGTCTGAGAAAGTGGATGCCTCCTCTTTGGCCTGTGTGCCCTCTTTTATGATGATTTTACTTCTTTTGCTGGAGAAGACAGTTTGCACTGGCAGAACAGCGGGCCTCTTTGCAGATATAGATGTCTGGAGTCTTGTGTTATGCTGAGGTGATGATTGCTTCTTCTCCTTCACATGAGAAAGACCTCTTTGCAAGTGTTCATCATTTTCTTTTGTGAAGGAAATCCCACCTTCTTTCCGTTTCTTCTTTTCTTTTGGTTTCTTAGGGCAGACAACCGCATGTTTGGTTCGGCTGCGGCGCATTGTGAACTCCCTGCTGCAGTGTGGGCAGACAAAGACTTCCTGTGGCTCGGCCACCTGCGTAGGTGACATTTTATTTGAAGATGGGACTGACTTGTTTCTTTGTGGCATGACTCTTTGAACCAACTTTTTCTTCCTTTTGTTCAGTATTTTAAGCTTTATTGGTGATTCCTGACTTGGTTTGGCCCTGCTTGTCTGACTGACATTGTTTAGTCCATTAGCAGAGTTAGTAGTAGAAAGCACTCCATTTTGAGTTTTTGCAAAGTGCCGTAAAGGGATAGGGTTTTTTCGAGGCGTGTATCGTCTTTTATCACTTGCATTTGCACACACCAAGATGTGTTTGTGCAGCTCTGGCATGTTGTCAAAGCTATTTCCACACTTGGTGCATCGAATAGCTGTACTGAAGGTTTGTGGGATGTTGTGGGTGGTAAAGTTTGTTGCTGAAGCAAGTGATCCAGCAGGTGATCGGTTATGATAAGGAAAAGGAGGCGGCTTGAAGCTGGGGTAGTGTTGGTTTATGCCCAGACGAACATCAGGCCCTTTAACTTTGCTCCCATCTGAAGCCATGGTCTTAATCGTCGTCAACACCTCGTCGGCAGTCACGCCAACTTCACATTCTTCCTTTTTCACCAGTTTCTTGGGTTCCTCAAGGTGTTTTAGAACTAAAGGATCTGAGTTCACTTTAGTCGAGTTGTTATAGTTCTGAGGTCTCAATTTTCCCTTTTCTTCCTCTGTGTGTGAACACTGTTGGCCAGGATGCAACTCTTCCTGATGCTGCTTCAGATTACAAAGGTAGACAAATTCTTTTGTGCACGCACTGCAAACGTAAGTCTTCCCAACGCCATGGAGGCTTGATCGATGGTCGAGCAAATCGGAAGGCTTGCCAAAGAGCAGCACGCAGAACTCACATTTGTAGGGCCATTCGTCAGCGTGGTTCACTACATGATGTCCGAGTTCCTTCATTGAATGAAAAAGCTTATCACACACGTTGCAGACAAAATTTTTGGCGAACGTCTGCTTTTGTGGATCGTTTCCTGTGTTGGTTGATGACTCTTCATCGGCTTTTTCAAGAAGAGGGTGAGGAGGAGAGGTTGCAGGTGGCATTTCTGATGTGGAAACAGTACTGTCAGCTGCTTCCTCCTCTTTTTTGGTCGGTGGGTTTGTACTCTCAACAGGCTGTGGGTCAGGATTTGAGTCATCTGCAGTAGGAGAATCAGATACCACATCAGTGTTATTGGAGAGAGCTACAGATTCTGTGACAGAAGATACAAGAATAGTGTGATCCACAGTTTGAGGGTTGGGCACAGACACAGTTTGTTGCTGTTCTGTGTGATTAACCATCATCTCAGTGGATACTGGAGGTTCAGCAGCATTGTCTTGTACAGTAACTGCAGGAGGAACAACACTTCCTGGGGCTTCGAGAGATATTGTACACTCAATTAACACTGTGTTTCTGGCAATGTTGAGTAGGGAATCATTTAGGGTTACAGCTGATGGGAACTGTACTTGTGTCCCAGAACTGGATTCAACCACAGGTGGATTGAGCGCAATTTGATCAGTGAGGAACACATGGCCAGGTAGGTTAAGAGTTGGGTCGATTGGTTGGGAAAGAGTGACGATGCTTGCAGGGTTGGTGGAAGCAAATGCAGTGGTTAAATCACAATCTGAAGAATTTAATGCATTTTCTGTACAGATTACCAAAGGCTCGTGAGATAAAGTTGGCGTTAATACTTGAATTGGTTGGTTTGAGGGGTTAGAAATAGATGAAGGTGGGGCCAAAACCGTAATTACTGAGGGAGCAGTAGGAAGGACATTGTGTGCAAGTGGGGAAGCAAATGCTATGGTGCATGGTGAAGCAGGCTCCAAGGCAACAGGGGTCAGTGAAGCAGCTGATGAAGTAAGAGTATTAGGAGGTATGGCAAGTCCATAAACAAGACCCTCTGCAACATGCTCCAGTGGGCCAACAACATCTGAACCTGTGACAAAAGTAAAGTCTGTAACCAGGGGAGTCAAAGGATTCCCCAGGTCTATTTTTTGTTCTCCGGTCTTAACTAAGGCTTTTTCCACCATGTATGTATTTGACTCTCCTTTCAAAACTGCTTGAGAAACCAAATCTAATGTTAGTCCAGATTCACCTGAGCTCTTTCTTTGCAAGCTCAAATCTAAAGCAGCATCACCTGAAGCCACGTCTTCATTTCTTTTGACTGTRTTAGAGAGATCCAGAGGCTTTTGGTTACAAGAATTACCACCAGTTACAGGCGGCCAGCTTTCTGACAGAACAGGTTTCACTTCTTGCACCGCTGAAGAGGRAGTCGGATCGTTTTCATTGAACATTTGTTGCACAGGTGAGCGATCAATCTGCTGTGCAATTCCAGAACTAAAATCTTCAGAATCGGGCTCTGACGTTTCTTCACTTGTTGAAATTTGATGCATCAAGCCTGTTGGAGAGCTGGTTCTTCTCCTAAACCTTCCCGTCCCAGAGGGTAGAACAGAGAGGGAAACAGGTGAGGATGGATTTTGGCCATCTGTGATTAGGGTGACTGTAGGTTTAAGAACCTCCTGCTTCTCAAGGAGCTGCTTCAGTTTTGGTGACAGGAATACTGTTCTTTCCTTGTGCACAAGTGTAGCCTCTGAACTCTGAGGGAAGAGATTATCTATTAAAGAAGAAACAAGAGATGAAGAGAATGAAGACACCACCACCTCAGATTCCAATTCAGAATTAATTTGTGGTAAAAGAGGAGGTGTTGTCGTTCTTCTCTTGCCTTGCTGTAGACTAGGTATTTCTGTATCTGCATTTAAAACCTGACTGATCTGGACAGGGTCTACAATCAGGGCATCCARTCCAATTAAAGGTGAAGTACCAGCCTGAAGCTCAGCTACTTCACAGCTACTGACCATGCTTGTTGACACTAACTTTCCATCAATGTAAAAGCTGAGATTCTCTGAAATATTAGGCAAATCGGACATGTATTTTTCTGCATTTACTTGTTCATTCTTTAGAAGCGATGTGGATGCCGTTTTCTCAGCATGCAGTGAATGGTGTTGAGGTGATTCATTGGGTAGTGGCTGAAAAATTCCCTCGGGTTGCAGCTTGGTTTGCTCATCATGCATGAGTTCCRGTGGGTCATCATGGACAATGCACTCGTGTTGCTGCTTGTTGGCATTTGTTGTGAATATCTTCTCAGCATATGTGTAAGCATGATGCTCTTCTAATGTTTCAGGAATATGATGCTGATCACTGTGATCTCCACTTGCTGAAGAAGTTGAAGTATTGGTGCTAGAAGAGGTTAAAGAGCTGCTTTTGAACGCATGTGCCTCACCGTTCATAAAAACATGGCTGTGCATGTGTTGTTCCAGGCTTTGTCTGCTGGTAAAGTATCTCTTGCAGTCTTGGCAGAAAAACGAGTCTCTTTCCACATCTTGATTTGGGGKKTTTWTGTGATCACATCTCGTGTCTGGTTCTTCTTGTACACCCTCACTGTCTTCAAGTTCAGAAACGTACAAAYGGGGTGAGTTGTCCATCTTCACTGAGGATACTGAGGATATATCTGGCTGAATCTTTCTGTATAAAGTCTGTCACACTGGATTTGGGCAGTTSTCACACCTATGACATGAAATGAAACAAATACTGACATTTAGCAAAAAGAAATGGAAAATAAAAAATAGAGCAGATATGGTCATTGAACAACTGCAACAAATAAAATAGATCAAAGTAGCTATAGTAGTTTGGGAAACTGAGGTTTATGTTCACTTCAAAATTTTGGTTATGGGGTTTTRAAGTAAACCAGTGATTGCTTATCCTAGTTTTGAAAGATACAATTTGYTGTGTGATGCAACAAGGGAGCACTGAAGCAGGTATAAATTGAATCATCAACAGCTAAACCCTCCATGACACGAAATGTTTTGTTAGAAAAATAGTGATCGAATTTAATTGAAAGTCTAGCATTCCTTCAAAGAATGCATATCGCCCATTGTGTTTTATGCCCGACTTTTAAACTAAGATCATTTTCGTATGAAAAATGATAGTTATAGCTGTTTTGATCRAACCTTGTAAATGATTATCTGTATTCAGCAATTTAAACAAAAAAAAAAGTTTAAATAAAAACTGTCCTAAGCAACTCTTTAGTAAACAAACTATAGAAAACATTTAAAATTTTAATTGTTGTTTTGTATTGTAACAACATAAAAGCTTAAAGAAGATGGTATTTGACACATATAATAGGATATGAAATATAGTTTATGTTAATGAAAATGCAATAAGCTATTGGAAGAATACRCACAACGTACAAATTAAAAACACATCTCAATTTAAACCAAGTTAAATGATACCTGGATTAGCTTACCATTTTAATCTTCAGTGCAGACTTGTTTGTTGTGAGATGAATAAATGCAGGTTCTATGTTGAAAGAATAAAAGAGACACATTCTTGTTAAAAACCTGACCTTGAGACAAGAATGACATAAAACAAAATCTGCTCAGACTCAACAGCTGTGGTGTGTAGCAGTTTATATCTGGTTATTTATTCCTRAAAGAAAAGTGAATTTATGCTTATTTATGCAAGGATGTCATGATTGCAATATGACTCATCATGAAGTAGCAAAAAAATAAATCCTTGTTTCCTATAGTGACCACATCAAATTTTTCTAACCTGCCTCATTTACCATTAAGCTGCATTACTTATAAAGCTTATTAATGTCCTTTCAATTAACCTGACAACCACATACAAATCTCAGCTTGGTTTAAAATAAATTTCTAATCAACTAATAAAAGAAACCTAAAAAAAGGACAAAGCTTTTCGGTAAATTGGTTCATTTTGACATAAAATGGTAAAACAAAATGGCAGGTCTGTCAGGTGATTTGTTGAGCAGAAAAGCTGGATGTGCAGTGAGGGAGGGGAAATCAACCTGAAACTCATCTGCTAGTTTTGTTTAATGTTAATCTCGTCTGTTTACACACATTTTGTCAAATGTTTGTTTATAAATCTTAATCCTCTTATAGCGCAACTTTCAAATACATAAAATGCCTTGTAAATACATTTTTCTACGTTTAGGTTAATACACACCTCCTTTTCATCATTTATTATGGATTCTTGCTCGTTGTAAAATAAAACAAACGCAAAAAAAAAAACTAATTCGACGCAATTTAAGGCCTACAAGATTTATTTATTTAGTAATCAGTTTCTCCTTAACAGGTGCACACTGCAACAGGCTTATATGAAACCCACTCCCACATATCAAATGTCCAAGAATAATTTTTTTGTTTTTATTTTATTTTAGTTATTACAGAAACCCACGGCTAAGCTCTGTGTTGCGTTYACGCGCATCCGTTTCAGCCGGTTCTGTGACGCTCCCCCGTCCTTGCTCCATTGCTAACTGCTCCCACAACACGTCGTCGCATTGCTCTTCGGCTACAGGGGCTGCTGCTGTGCTAGCTCGTCTACAGTTTTAAGGTCAACTCATCGTGCGAAAGCACTCGTTTAGCTGGCCGCAACATACAAGGAGGTACAAACGAACCATCGCCGCAGGTCCGATGACAAAGCTTCACGCGTCAAGTCAAATAATCCWGCTTGTTTCGTCTGGCTCTCTTTTTTGCTAGCTTGGGTGCTAGCTGGTTAGCTCGTGCTAGAACTAAAACCAAATGTTCAACGCAACAGACACAACAAGCGCTGTCTGACAAACATAAATTACAAATTATAGTGTCCATACCTATACATATAACTCCTTCCAAAGTGCGGCAAAATAGGTTTGAAATGACCCTGTTGTGCAGCTTGTAGACAGCTGTTCACCCCCTTAAAGTATCAACAAAATTCAAGGGTTCTGATTGGACAAAGACTCTAGATGCACAATGAATTAACCAATGAGCAGGCAGCTTGTTGAAGCTATGACGTGCGTATTTAAAAAAAATCTAATGGAGAAGTCTAGTCTATTTTTGTTCAACATGTTATAAAACTTACAGTATTTTTGTTTTTTGTTCTTAWAAACGACTATTTTTCCCTCAAAGTAAATACTAACAAAACAACAACTTTAGCTTACCTTATTTTTATTAAAGTAGGTCTATACAAAGTTACACTATGTAGAGCTAAATGTAACTTCATGTAATTTAAATCATGTATGTTAGTGTAATTTACACATTTAGTTTAGAATTAGATTATTAAAGAAATGTGTGTATATGTGGGGAAAAACAAACAGAAATTTTTGGTCGTTGCAGTTTTTGTTTTGACCTCTAGAGGTCAAAATATTCAAAGATTTCAGGTCAGTACCTCACCAGGCTTCTTCCAGTGTTACTCTTAAAGTCTAGGTTTTACAGTAATTTCATAACATTCAGAAAAGTACTGCATGAATGATCCCATTTTAGAACGCAAAGTATTTCCCACTTTATAATAATTGTGTATGCATAATGCTTAGTGTGACTCTTGCTGCAGTGTAGGCAACAAGATGAGGATAGTGTGTAATCAGGAAAATGTTTACAAGATGCACACATATTTTATTTATTGACTCAAATTAATAAAACTGAGTTGCAATCGTAAATTACTAAGTAAATATTTAAACATTGATGACACAGCTGAATATGGGCCATATTTTTATTTTACCACTGTCATTTCTCTTTCACAACTGTTAATAAAACAGAAGCCGCATTGTGCTCACAAAATGAAGATTAATAACATAGTAATTTCTTTTTTCTCCTGACCTAAGGGACTGGTTCATAGAAATCTGACAGAAACTAACTATCTGACTTCACAAGACGTCACTTCCAGCCTGAAGGAGCTCAGAAAACCCCACTTGTACATCTGTGACACTTTGCAGCACATAGGTGGTGTTCTTATGGCACATGGATGGTATGTCTCTTGTAGTTATGTTGTATGTGGGCTGAGTGGCGTGTCACTGTGAAACCACATGCCTGACGTTTGCAAGGCGTAATGAAAGCTCATAAATTACAGACCTAACCCTCTGTATTTAAGCTTTTTTCCTTTTTTGTCATTTAGATTTCGCTTTCTGAACTTCCCAATGATGCTACTGATACACAGCATGGCATGTTGTATTGACGTAGCTTCTGTGGAGTAAACTTTTATAGCCGCTGGTAATTCAGTGCCAAGTTGGCTGTGATTGTGTTTATTTATAGCTTGTTGTAGCAAGTTGCTGTGGACGTGCCCATGACTTTCATAGCTGACAGTGGCTGTATCTGTGGATTGTAAATGAGCAGCGTAAAATTGGGTCTCCATGTTACACATGTGTCAGATCATTGTGGATGCAGGTGCTGATTGCCTGGAAGACAATCCTGATAGGAACAAGCTTTTATTTTACAAGGCTGGGAACAACTTAGCACATAAAGCGTAGAACCCCTCAGAAAGCAGAATAAATTCTGCAGAGCATGAAATATATTTAAGTTGACATTTGGGAAATCATGTGGCGGCACTAAACAAAATCCTGGTGCTTTTATTTTTGCAGACTTAGCTGATATGAACAAAAGTAAAAATAAAAMCGTGTAAAGCTGTCACATTTATACATTCGTTCTTCCTGAGAAGTCAATCGGGGCAGAAACATTTGTCAAATGTTTATCTGTTGGAACGGAGCGTGTAACATCACAGCGTCATGATGTTTTCACGTGTGTGTGAATGTTTCCATGTGGATATCGATTTCTGCAGGTTATAAATATGTGTCTGCCATGTCAGATTCAGTTCACAAGGACACTGTGGTTAAAATATTTACAAACGGCCAATTTTAAGATGCCAAAAGGTTTAGCTCTCATTCTTCAAGATAACATTAAATCCGGACAGGAAGCTAATTAGGACTGTGCTTTCTAGATGCTTATTTTTCCCCATATCCTGTGGTAATGGGTGCAGATTCATGTGAAAAAAATGCGCGCACAAAGAAACATTCAACATCCACAAGAACATACAATATGGGGTGAGAAAAACAAAGAGGGGAAGAAGGAGAGGTGGTCCGTAGTATATCATACAGATCACTGCAGGAATTTGGTATGGAACAATACAGATGTTTTACTGATTGTGTGTGTCAACACAGGAAAGAAAAAGAATTGAAAAAGAGTGGAGAAATTGCTGCGTCACTTGAAAATAAAACTTATTGCTTTGTGTTGCGAGTACCAATTGTTAAGATCGTGCACATTTGGGCACCAGTGTTTTCAGATTGGGCGGGTTTCATCCCAATTGGGCGTCTTTTCAACATGTTAGAAAAAATAGCTTTGGGCTGCTTTTCATCACATTTTTACAAAGTATTCATGAGAAAATTATATTTTAAAAAAACTTGTACATTTTCATAAAATGCCATGATCTTGCACTCATTTAAGTAGTTCATKTATTTTGAAATGTCTAGAATTTGTTGAACATGACATCATCAGTGACTAGAGAATTTGAATTTCCTGCAAAAACGCAGTGTGAAAATATTTTTGCTGAACAGCTAAAAAAAAATCTGAAACTAGCTCTGTACAATGACAATAAAGGTGTCATCAAAAAGTGGAAAATATCTGAAATTAGCACAAAGAAACAGAAAAAGCATGTTCATCACAAAATGGTGAATTCATCTAAAAAAGMTCMAATTAGCTAAAAGTAGCTAWAAACAGCTGAAATTAACAGAAAACAGYTGAAAGCATAAAAAGCTTAGAATAGCAGAAAGAAGCACAATGGTTTAAATTAGCAAAAGAATRGCAGATAAGGTGAGAAAGAGGGCTAAAAACAGGGCAGAAAAAAGCTCAAATCAGTTAAACAGAAGCCTAAGGGAGCTGAAATGAGCACRAATAAGTTGAAAAAAGCAGAACCATAAGATTCATGAAAAAGTTCAGTATCTAAAAAAGTAYAAATTGGTGAAATACCAAAAGTCACGGCAGGAATATTTTGAAGGAGGTGAACGTTTTTGTACAAAAACTGCTGAATGAATTATGTGACAAAAAAAAAAAAAACATATAGTCATTGTTTAATCAAGTGTTACTATAAAATGGCATTGGTCGTTATAAATGTCCCAAACAGGGTTAAGAGTTCAACTAATCTACAATGCGGTGTGTTGACTTGACAATAGGAGGCAGTTTCGTGTCGAAGTGGGGAAAATACAAAAAATGATAGGGAAAGGATGGGGGAGCTGATCCAGAGTGGATTAAAAATTATATTTATAATTTGTGTTTGTAGGCTTTTGATTACATTTTTACATTTGCTATGACAWCATGAATGGGAAAGAGATGTTTGTGTGAAGGCTGTTTGGTTGTCTGATTACATTTTTTGTGGAGAGTCTGTGCAACCCTTTTTTATTATTTATTTATTTATTTTTGCTTCAGTTCAGTTGTGAGCTAATGGCTTATTTACTATGAATGCTGTAACATGAGTTTCAACAGAGATTTAGGCTGTTTCTTTTTTTATTTTATATTTTTTACATAGTGTTTGGGCTGAAAACAGTCAGTCAGCTCTGGAACTGTGTTAGAGCTGGACTCACAGTAAAAATTAAAACTCCCCTAAAGTTAAAAAAATCAAATGTTTTTGCATGTGCTCATTCAGAGTTCTGCTCTTATAAACAGTAGCAGCCTGTCTCTTCTGTTTATGTTTGTGCTTTTCCTCCACAGGAAAGTTCAGCCAGCCCCTGCATCATTCATACCAAACACACCACCCTTGCCTGTTACCCAACCTTGTGCACCCTTCAGCACTTCTCCATCCCCTCCTCTGCGTCCACCAGCTGTCTGTGACACTCAAGAGCTGCTGGGCTGACACTTTCGCCATGACATCACACACACTCCTGCACGTTATCTGTGCCGGCCGGAGGACCCGGCCTGCTGCAGGGCTCCGGTCAACACAGGGGTGTCGACACCAGAGACGAGGGGCTGCAGCAGGCAGGGGAACAAACGTTACTAATGTAGTGTAAAATAATCAATCTGCTCGTTAACGTCACGTCTTCTTCTTCCTCTGGGGGATTGAGGCAAAGCTTCAGTTTTGTTTTTGGAAAAGTAATTGAARTGAGGGTGTGTTCTCAAGCTGCCCCCGATAAGATTCGTTGGAAGCTGTGTAGCTCGTAGCAGTTGTTGGCCCAGCCCTGCTGAGGCCTTTTCTGTGTGGCACTCACATGTTGTCTTTGTGTCCTGTTTGTGTTTCTCCTCACATTCCCCAGCTTCTCCACTCAGTGGGAGACATGCCGAGCTGCTGGACGGGCAGCGTTTTATTGCTGAGGGCTGGGAATGTGTCAGCATACACAGGGAAGCCTCTCACCTATCATAACCTTCGCCCTCAGGAAGAAAGCGTTTTTTTTATATCCTAAAAGGAAATGTTCAAACATACCTGTGGTGATGGCTGACCAGATACATTTGTTGTTGTTTTCTTTGTGAACCAAACCACATTAAAACTATGAATCAGACCGGTTCTTCGGGGAGCAATCACAGGACTTAACCAATAAAAACATTTGGCATTTTGGACACAAACACACTTTATTATATTTCTGTCAGAATTTGCCTAAAGGTTGTACAAAATTTTCCCTAAAATTTCGCAAGATGTACATGTATATTGTTTCATTTGTGCCTCGAAGATTTAAAACTTTGCAAACTGTGGAAAAGTATAAAAAGATGAAAAGCACTGATGCTTCAGTTACCTCAACCATTTTATTTGATTGAAAATGTCTAAATAAGAAAAAAGGATTTCTGATCAGTGACACACACACTTGCATGAACATATACATAAAGTAAATAATATATATATATCAGTCTGTGTTGAAAAAAGTCAAATTAAAAATAGAAAATGTTCACGACTTTTGCATTTCAGTCCAACAGGTTGATCTGAGCTTGTTTGACTTAAGACTCGGGCACTTTGCAAGTGCTCAGGGCCTCTGTGTGTTTATATAAATATTCTGTTTCTTTTTGAAATGCATCATCACAGTTTGACGAGGGACAGAAAATCTGATGTTCAGCAAGGCTTGGTCCAAATTTTGTCAAATGAATTATTTCTTGTCGTGTTCCAGTTTATTTTTTATTTTTTGGAATCTTCTTAAAACTTGAATCTGGTCAATAAAAAATATCACTCTTTGCAGTTGTCTCAATAAAATTAAATCAATCAAATAAAAACTAAAATTAAAAAAAGATTTATAGTGTTGTATAAAGTACCTGAAAGTGATRTCTGAGTAAAAGGACAAGTAACTTATCAAAAAATTACTTTGGTAAAATTTAAAGTCTCCTCTAAGAATATTACGTGAGTAAAAGT